CCACCTTCCCCCCTCCCCAAGCCAGGAAGGTCAAAGACACATCTAAGGCAGCCCAGATTCCAGCATGGCCTGGGGCTAGGAATGCTGGGCTTTCCAGGGTGGTTGTGGGCCGAGCACTGGCTGGCTGCAGGCGCTCCCGGCCCCTGCCCCTCCCAAGTCTGGCAAGCTGAAGGAACCCCCAGAGCTGGGTCCTGTCAGCCCCTCCACACAAGAATGTGACCTCCAGGGACATCACTGGGGGCTGGCAACTAGGACAGGGCTGCCTTCGCCCGGGACTCCCGCCTGTCCCCTCTCCTGCCTTGTCCAAGGGTGCAGACCCCAGAGCAGAACTGAGCCCTGGAGAACAGGTCTGGCCAGGCAGATGGGTAGGAGAAGGATGGGGAAGCTGGTCACTTTGGCATCTCCAAGGCTGACACTTGAGGCTTCACCTTGAAATACTGGTTGAATCGGATCACTGCGTACCTGCCAAAAAACAGGAAAGGGAATTGGGGGTAAAAAGGGAAGCTGGGTGAGCCCTGCTTGGGGCACTCACATCACAAGGTAAGTTCTCACCAAACTCGTACCGTCTAGGTCAGGGCAAATGGACCCCAGCCCAGATTGGGTTTTTTTGTTTTGTTTTGTTTTACTTCAACTATACTTTTATTTTTCTTCTTAGATCAGACTGGAGCAACCCTTCCCCAAACACGTTTGGTTGTCTGTTGATTTTTCACAGCTCAGCGTGGTCAGTGCATTCATATTGTTGACCAACAGATCTCCACAACTCTTTCATTTTGCAAAACTGGAACACTGTCTCCACCGCACAGCAACTACCCACTTCCCTCCAGGCACCACCATTCTACTTTCTGTCTTGATGAATTTGACTACTTTAGCTTCCTCATCTAAGTGAAATCATACGATACTTGTCTTTTTTTGTGACTGGCTTGTTTCACTTAGTACAATGTCCTCAAGGCTCATCCCTGTTGGAGCATGTGGCACAATCTCCTTCCTTTTAAAGGCGGGATAGTATTCCTTTGTACGCAGAGACCACGTTTTGTTTATCCATTTATCCATCAGTGGACACTCGGGTTGCTTCCATCTCTTGGCTATTGTGGATAATCCTATTATGAACATGGCTGTGCAAACATCTTTGAGACCCTACTTTCAATTCTTTGGGGTATATACCCAGGAGTAAGATTGCAGGATTATAAGTAATTCTAGTTTTTAACTTTTTGAGGAAGCAGAGTATAATTTCCCACAAAAGCTGCACCATTTTATATTCCCAGCAGCAGTGCACGAGGGTTCCCGTGTCTCCACATCCTCACTGACACTTGTTATTTCCTGTTTATTTAAGGGTGGCCACCCCAGTGGGTGTGAGGGGGTCTGGCTGTGGCTTTGACTTCCATTTCTCTAATTTTTGTGAACACTTTGAAGCCAGCATAGTGATTCCTTTTCAGCGGAGGGTGGGTTGAAAGGATAAAGACAGAAACTGGACAAGAATGGAGGACAACATGATTCCTGGTCCTTTAGGAACACGTGTATCTCGCACGACAGGGCCATCTAAGTAGTTCAGTATTCAAGTAAAGTCTTGGTATAGCCCCTGGCCACCCAGGTGACCCCAGTGAGTCATTCTGCCCTCTGGAACTCTGTCCCCTCTGCTATAAAATGAGGGTCGGACTCGTGATCTTTCAGATCAATTTCCAACAATTTCCTTCGCCACCAGGCTCTGTGTGGAAGAGCTCTGGTGGAAGGGCCGGAGCAGTGAGTAGGTGGTTGGAAGGCTGTGAGTAGGTGGTAGACTGGGAGCAGGTGGTTGGTAGGCTGTGTGTAGGTGGCAGGCTGTGAGTAGGTGGCAGGCTGTAAGAGGGAACGAGGATCTCCTACGAGACAGGAGGCGGGGTGTGAGCGCTGCTGACGACGTTCAGAGAGGCGCTCTGGGCTCGCGTGCGTCCGCAGGCATCTGTCCTGGAGCAGCGGCCCAACTGGACGTGGGCTGGCTGAATGGAGGTGAGCCAGCAGAGCGGAAGCCTGTGCTCCAAACAGTTGATCTGGGCTGTCCTTTGTCACATCTTGGGCCCAAGGCCCTTCCTTTCCTCCCTACCCCCACCTCCGACTTGTTCCCTGCACTCACCTGAGGAAATCGAAGTCGATGGTGGAGAACTGGTTCTGGATGAGGGCCCAGAGTGCCCAGAAGAAGTGAGACGCCTGGAAACAGACCGGAGGAGGTCAGTGTGGCGAGCCCCCCATACCTGTCATGGGCCCCATGGAGCTGGAAGGACAGAGTCTCAGACACAGAGCCGGGGCACTGGTGGAGACACAGTGGGGTGTCCCCAAAACAGGTGGGGGTATTCCAGAGGCCAAGTCACTGGATGGTTTTGGGGGTTTCACTCCTTCTAGAAAAAGGTAAGCAGAGTAGCCTTGGGGCTTAAGCAGGATGGGGACTTTCAGCTTGTTCCCCAGCCCAAGCAGGACCCAAACTCCAGCCCTGGCCACTCTCGGACCAGGAGAATCTTCAAGACTGAGGCATCCAGGACGAGAAGAATTCCTCAGCCGGAGCTCAGGCCTGGTGGCCAGTGGAGGGGCTGGTACCCTGTCGGCAGTGCCCTGGCCACATGGTCATCACTGGCCCAGACTGCTGGAAGACCCCTAAACTGACCTCTTCCACCCCTTTCCTTCTCTTTTATCAAGAGGCGGCTCAGGTTAGAAAATGAGCGTAATTGTAGGACAAGGGGGCCCGAGTCCACAACTGCTTTCCCGGAGCCAGACCCTATGGGGCCCAGGCCACTTCAGGCTCGAGAAGCCAGAGCACCACGCTTCCTGCTGCCACTGAGCAGACACCAGTGATGCCACTGCTTTCCCGGACCAGGCCCCCCCCCACGACCAAGTCCCACTCACTCTGGGGTTGGCTATACAGCCCCTCCCTCCATTTTCTTCCCTTTTCAGGACTTTAAAGGGGGAGGGGCATAGATCAATTAGCATGTGGGAATGATTAGTAAAAATTAAGCAAGCAGAAGGCCTGGGTGGAGCAGTTAAGGGGAGGAACCTGATGGAGAATCAGTCTTGGCCAATGAGGAAGACGGACTAGGCAATCCCAAATCATAGGTAATTAAAGATTTTATTGAAGCTCTACGACATATTGGGAAATTCGGGGCAGCTGTCTTATTTTCTTGCTTCTGCATAGCTGATATTAACAAGACTAGCTAGTAATCCCCTGGGCACACACTGGTGGAGACCTGGCATGAGCCGTGTACCCTGGATAAGCAGCACTCAAAATCCAGAACTGACAGCACAGTCATTTGTGAAGGAAGAGCCTGAACGGAAAGGCTTACACAGAGTTCTGAGTCAGTGGAGATAGTTAACAAGAAGGATTAGAACTGACATTTTCTATCTCCTCCAAAGGCTTAAAAAAAAAGCATGTATTTAACTACAGCATGAAAGGCTAAGGGTTAGACACTAGAAAGAACTTGTCCAAATGAGAGAACTGCTAAAATAGGAAGCTGGGATCTTTCCTGGAAGTAGTTCTCGAGGAAGAAGAGCGCCTAGACGTGATGAAATGGGAGAAAAGCAGGGAACAGGGCATCTTAGAACTAAGGGGATGCCCACGATGGCTCTTCCCAGACCATACCCCTAGGCTGGGTTCCAGGAGCACATGATGGGAGTCCCCAGGACCTCACACCCAACCCTGGGCTCTGCTTCCTCCTCCACCACAAGGTTGTGGGAACGTAAGAGCTGGGGGTGGGTCCTGAGTCCCTCCTGCCTTCTCCCTCCCCTGCCCCTCCCTGCCCCCAGCCACAAGCACTCACCAGGGCAAACTTGTTGACTTGAACATACAGCCTCTCCACCTCCCTGGGGGTCACGGCCGCCCCTTTCTGTGCCTGCAGGTAGTAGCCGAGCCACTGCAGCTGGGTCTCCCGCGCTGGGTACCAGCAGTAATCCACCTCGTTCACACCTGCCCGGGAGGCAGCCACACCCAAGTTGCTAGGAGACGGGCCCGCCTAGGGGTCTCCTCCAACTCAGGAGGTGTTCCCTGAACCCCTCAAAACCTCCATCTACTTTGCCCGGTGGGGCTGAGCCTCAGAAAGCAGCTCCTTTGACCACCAAACTCTAACGTGTGGAGTGTCGACCCCTATCCCAGCTGAGGGCACTGCTTTCAGTGCGCTGAGCTGGACGGAAGCAGAGAGAGAGGGAGACTCGCTGAGGGGCACAGTCTTGAGAGTGAGGGGGACCCCTAAGACAGCACTTACTGTATGCCCGCACCCTCTATAAAACCGCGGCCCGTAAGAGGCGCTCAGTCGAAGCCCTGACTCGGGGGCCTAGGTGGCTGAGGTCTAATGCTAACCTGGAGGCAACTTCAGGCAGGCCCCTTCCTCTCACTTACAAAGTGAGGGAGCTGGACTTAATGTGTCTCAAACACTGCTTCCTGGACCATGTTGAGCTGGTTCCTTAAAAAAGCATCACCTGGAGGGCTTGGCCAAAATAGTTTCCCCGGCCCCCACCCCTGTCCAGTTCTCCACATGATTCGAAATGCAGCTTGGAACCCCTGAGCTTGCCCAGTCCCACCCTTCCTTGCGTCCCCAAGCTGCCAGCCCAACACACACCGCCACACCCTGGGCATGGTGGCAGGGACCCTGGCTTCAGAGCTGATACAGAAAGAAGTGGTTTACTTAAGGCAGGGCCAGCCCAGAGCCACTTTCCCTGGTCTCTTCCTCCTCCTCTTCCTCCTATCTTTCCCTTCAATCCCTGGAGAAGCACAGTCTCCTGGGCCCCCAGAGAACGGCGGGACAAGAACCCCAGGCCCAGGGAGCAGACATTTGCTCAAGGTCACACAGCCAGTCAGAGGCCGGTTCTTAGCTCCCAGCACCCAGCACGGGTCTCTGTGCTCCTCAGAACCCAGGGGGTCCCTCCGTCTCCTCTGCTGCCCTCCTTTCTCAGCTAGGAAGCAGAACGCAATTTGCCCCTTGTGAGAAATTCCAGCTCGACTTTGCTCTGTGGGGTGGGTGAGAGGGACTTAAAAAATGCTCAAAAATTACCCCTTTGGAAAGGTGGGTGGGTCTGGCAGCTGAGTACTTACCTGCCCTGCAGGTGGCCAGCCTCTGCTCTGCGCCACCCCACAGCTCAGCTGCTCTGCCCAGCTGAGGCCCCATCTGTCCCCTGAGTTCCTAGATGCAGCTGGTGGCCACCCTGGGGAGTCATGCCCTCGGGTACAAGCAGTGCGTGCAGACCTGGTCACCTGGGGTGCCAGAAGGGACACAAATATCTTCTCTCCGGGCCCGAGGGTCTGCATCTGCCTGGACTGGCCTGGATTGGGGACTGCCTGAGGCTGGGCCAGGCAGTGGCTCTGCAGTTGGCTTGCATATGCCTCAGCTATCCCAGGCCACAGGGACTGACCACATCATGCCCCCACGTTGTCAGCCTAGGGATGTCCCTCTAGCCCCAGTGTCCCCAGTGTCCAGCTCCATCCACCAGCTGCCCCTTTGGCCCCATCTAATTGTTCAACAATGAAGCCCTCAAGCTGGAAAAACCTGCCCTGCTTCCTTTACACAAAGAATTCTATTGTACACACCTGCCTTTATGGAAGGCCGGCCTTCCTACCCCCAGGACACGCCCCTCCTCCAACCGCATCCATGCCTGCATCCATGCCCGCATCCATGCCCACTCCAGCCTCTCTCAGCTGCAGGACAGCTTCCTGCCTGCCGGACGTCAGCAGCAAACACCAGACACCAAGGAGGTAAGTAACACCTGCCCCGAGGGTCACGCAGCTAGTAAGCAACAAAGCCCAGGTGTGAACCTGGGAGTCGAGACTCAGAGCACAGCCCTCCTGGCTCCACCAAGATTAATCTCATCAGGCCGCCAGGAAACAGCTACTGCAGCCTGTTCTGCTTCTTTATCTGCCCGCAGGGCCCCTATTTACAATTGTGCGGGCTGTACTGGGTACAAAGGAGCATGGACAAGAGGGTGAGTGGAGGCTGGTGTTGCCCTGTGCTGGCCCAGCTGGCGGGGGCTGTCTCTGGCCAGAGAAAGGGGTCTTTTTGTAACTCACACGTCAAGCCGAGTATCCTCAGGGATCCTATAGAGGGCGCGTTTTTCTTATTTGTACCAAAGTGCCACACGGGCCAGCAGGACCGGCTCTGTGTCGGGGGCGGTCTGGGCTTCCACACAAGACCTGGAGCTCTCGAGGCAGGCTGGGCCTCCCCATCTCCCCGAACTGTGCCGTGCTGAGGACAGGGGTGTCCAGCCTCCACTCCCCAGGTACAGAACCCCTCTCCCCCTCCCCCTGGACCTGGTCCTCCATCATAAGGAGGGTATCTTGGACACAGGCCACATAATAATGCCTTCTCACCTGCAAACTCATTGAAATGGTTGCCAATGTCAAAAGCTTGGTAATTGTAGCCGGCATATTCGTAGTCAATGAACCGCACATGACCTACAAGGCAGAGGAGAGGCAGTGACAGTTAGCCTCTGACCTGGAAATAGGGCTGGGTCAAGCTTCCACAGACTCAGGAACACACCCACTGGCTCCCCCTGGCCACTGCAGCGACCCAGCCTCACCCAGCTTCCCCGCGACAGTCTTCTAAGCTGCTTCCTTCCTCCTGTCCGTTTGCCACCTGCCCTTTCCCCAGCTCCAGCTGCCCCTCTCACATAGCTGGGTCCTCAGGCTCTGTCCATCTACAGACGTCTGTCCTCAGCATGGCTGAGGACCGGAAGTAAAGCGGAGCACTCCCCGGGGGTGATGCTCGAATGGGGAACACAGCGAGGTTCTCTCTGTGAAGGCTCTGTGCCGCCAAGATACCCTCGTAAGCCCAAAACACAGTCGGGGGAATGGCTCCACCAACCACGATTTTGAGTCTTGGCAAAGATTTTTCTAAGTGCGAATCTGTGTCTTTTTCATTTCTCTCCTACAAATTAACTTGAGACCTACACCAGCAGGTCTCACTTTGCTTGACCGAGTGCCAGGCTGAGGAAGAGGACCCTGAAGCCAGCAGGACAACCAGGCCAAGCCCTGCTGCTGCCCAGCTGGGGCCAGAGAAGCCATACCTTTGGTGCTGTCATAGATAATATTCTTGCAGAGCAGGTCATTGTGACAAAACACCACAGGGGAGTCCAACTGGGGCAGGTGCTCCTTCAGCCAGGCCAGCTCCTGTTCCAACACTTCGACCTTAGGGACATCTGCAGAAAGGCTGGACAGGGGCAAAGAGTGGCCAGTGGAGGGAGGGCTGAGAGCAGACAGGCAGGTGCTTGGCCTCCAAAGCCCTGAGCTCTGGCCCTCTCCCGACTTCTTACTGCAGAGGGACCTTTGACCTTCCCTTCTGTCATCTAGAAAATGGCACTGAGGTTTCCTGTCTTTCTGACTTCTGTGGTTACTCCAAGAAGCTGACTAAAACCTGAACATAAAAATCATCTTGCAAAGCATAAAAACCCTAACCAAACAGCACCCTGCTGCTTCATGAAAGGGAAAGGGATATCGGACGGAGGCACAGGGAGATGTCAGGGGAGGGGAGGGCGAGTGTCCCACCTCAGTCACTCCAGACTAGGACAACCGGGGCGGCGGGAGAGGGGCGCAGACAGGCCTGTTCTCAGGACAGTAGGAACAGCTCCTGGGGAAGGCGTGGCTGTGGAGAACAAGACCCCGCAAAGCTCCCCCAGTGGAAGAGTAACAGCGCCCCGGGAGGGCGGGAGCACTGGCGCCCTCTTGAGGAGGCAGAGGGATGTCCCGGTGTGTCTCCCTCACGCTCTAGGCCGGCGGTACAGGGGGAAAGGACCGGAGATCATCCAGTCCAACTTCCCATTGCACAGCAAGACCACCCGGGCTGAGACTAGAAAGCAAAAAAATTGCTTCTTGGGCCCACTTCTATGAGGCCTAGGGGATATCAGGGCCTTTCAGTCAAAAAGCTCTTGCTCTGGAACGCCCCAGCAACGCCCCTTCCCCCTGGAACCGTGAGTGTTTCCCTGCCCCAGGCCCCTGCCTGTGTGTGGGCAACTTGGGGGCAGGAACAAAGACACGTGGAGGCCGCCTGTCCCTCCGCCCCACCCTGTCCTGCTGCAGACAGCAGGCATTTCTGCTGAAAAAAGTGCACGTGGAGGGATGGTTGAACAGGTCAATCGATGCCTTCTCAGAGGCTGTGGGGAGGCTGGGGAGGGCGGACTGCGCTCTGAGGCTCTGAACTTTGGTCCCTGGAAGCACACAGGTCTGTGTACACTGAAAAGCCAAATAGTTAGCAGAGCCCTTAAAACCCTGGAACCACCAATGGGTCGAGGGGAGGAGGCTAGGGTGTTCCCTCCATCCATGTGTGTCCTGTCTGCTTTCTTGTCCAGGGCAGTGCGGGTACATGCAGGAGGATGAGAAGGAGACACCCCCTGTCTGGTCCTCCCATAGGACGCCCCATCGCCCCTCACCCAGCCCAGAAGCCAGACTCAGGGAAGAGTATTCAGCAACTAAGACACCCCCTCTGGAAAAGGACGGGCAGCACGCCCCCCGACCCAGGTTTTGAGAAGGTCAGAGCCAAAGTGGATCTTAGGGCCCCAGTCGAACTCCATGGGGAAACTGAGGCTCAAGGAAGGGCAGAGGCTTCCTCCAGCCTCCAGATGCGTCTTACACAGCTGGGTACTCTACTCCCTCATCTAAGGAAAGGAGTCCTCAGCCTGTCCAAGAATCCCAAATCAAGTCGAGCCTCTGAACTGTGGGGGGCTCTGCACAGACCACTCCAAGCCCGGGAGTCTGCTGGGGCGGGAAGGTGCATTTCAACCTTGGCTTTCCTTAAGAAGCTACTTCTTCTTTTAAGATTCCTTTTTTTCCTCCTTGGACTGAGACCATCCAAAGTTAAGAATTAGGAGGCTTCCTTTGGTTCGAACAAGTCGCAGCCTGAAAAACAGGTCTTTGACATCCAAGATGCCTGCTGCCCAGGCCCTGACCTCTGTCTGAGCCCTACCTTACCCATCCCAAGGCCACGCATCTGGCTGCTGTGGGAACAACCCAGGCCTTCCACCTCCCTGGGCAGCCCACCTCAGCCGCCCTGCTTCCCTCCTCTGAACACTTGAAACATCGCCAGCATTGCTACCTTCAGCCCTGGCATAACTCGACTCTCAAGGCTGTGGGGTTGGCAGAAGAATAACCACCACTGCATCACAGAAACTTTCACATCCCAGGCGGCACGGCTCCTCCTACTCCTCTGTCCCTCAGAGGCAGCAAGAAGCGGGTAAAGGGCCTCCTCAGGGAAGCCGGGGGGTCCTTCCTGAAGAAGGCACTGCTGCCTGGCAAGTGTCCGCTCAGTGCTCAGTCCGCCCAGGTGGCGGGGTGGATGGGAAATACCCTCTCCCCATGGAGAAGTGTTTCTAAGTGTTTGAACTTACCAGCCCATCACCTTCGCCCTCATACCAATCAACCTATCTCCTCTGAAGCAGTTATAACCCTACATTCCCCAGCCACCCTGGACTCCTCCACGCCCAACCCAACACCGAGACCACCAGATCTATTTCCACCAGGTCTGACTCACCCTCCTATTCTCCATCCCCTCTACCCCCTGCAGTGAAGCTGCCCTAGGGCAACGTTCCTCAGAATGTGGTTCCTTGATCCCCTGCCTCAGGATCACCTGGGGAGCCTGCCAAAATGCAGATTCCCAGGGTCCAGTGCAAGCCCTCCCAATCAGTCTCCAGGGTGAGGCTTGGACTGTGCACTGAGCAAGCACCCTAGGGTAGTCTCATGCTCAAATTTGGGAATCCCAGTCCTAGATGGAGCCCATCCAGTGTCTAATTCCCCAACTCCCCCAGTGGCCCTCCCTACCTGGAATCCCCCAACTGCCATCCAAATCTGTCCTTTGCAACACCGCAAGGCTTCCTTCCCAAATCACAGTCCTGAGTCCTTGGCTCCAACACCTTCACGATGACTCTCCACTGCCTAACTTAACCTTGGCTCCTGAACCTGGCATTGAAGGCCCCTCACAATCTAGCTCCAACTCACCTCTGCAACCCCATCTCCCGTGACCCATCCCCAAGCCCTCCTGAAGCTCCAGCTAGCCTCCTCTACTCCCCATCCACAAGCAAGCCATGTTAATGCTGCCTCCTCCAGCCGGAGTGGCCTCTCTTCTCGTCTCTGCCATACCACCTCTGCCAAGAAGACGTTCCCTGGTGCCCACACCCCAGCGGACATCACACACCCTGCATGGGCAGGTCCTATTTCCACGGATGGTTCCTAAGCTCCTGGAAGGCAGGGCCCATGTCACCTTCAAGTTTTTTTTTATTGTTTTAAATCCCAATCAGTGAATGTTTGTGAAATGAAGGATTGACTAAATCAGGGTTATTAGGCAATGACCAGATCTAAACGCTTCACCTCATCTGAGTGATTGCTTATCACACCTCTGCTTGCGGCAGGTTAAGACAGTTCGGGGCAGGTATCAGCCCCTCAAGAGGCTCGATGTAAGCAACTTGGTTTGTCCAGGGTCTAAGGTGTGACAAAAGCAAAGGAAGTTGGCTGGCTCTTCTTCAGGGAGCACTCCCCTCCCCATAAGGTCACCCCCTCAAGATTACACAGTGACAGTTCAGCCAAAAGCAGCTGTAGCAACAAGGGTCAGGCCTGAGCATCAGGCCTGGACTCTAGTCCTTACATTGCTGCTGATCGGTGGCACCTTGGGCAAGGCACATGCCTCCTCCGGGCCTCAGTGTTCTCATCTGTCTAATGAAAGTGGTGGGTGGATGCTCAGAGGGTCCTGCTCTCCGCGCGCTGTTCTATCCTAAGAGGGAAGGCAGCCCTTGTCCCCAGATGACATGTGACATGGAAGGTCTGAGCACAGGCTGTCCTAGACAAATGGTCCCAAAGCAGTGCTTGGGAATCAGCGAGCAGGAGGATCTATATAAAGTCATGCGTGTGCGCATGTGACACAGACACATGAACGGAATGGTTAAGTATTGTCTTGTCGTCTTCTGTGTCCTGCTCCCATGAATACATGGAAAAGAGTGATGTCCAACCCCAAGGGGCAACAGGGAGGGCTCAGAGACTCACTATGGCCCTTCGGGGGTGGGCAGGGGTGACCCCAGTCTTTTCTCCACGCCACCATCCTTTTCTCAGCACTCAAGGGTGTGCTGGGGAGTCAGGGATCGGAAGGCGAGAAGGACTCCCAGGTTAAGGTTCAGGGAACTGTCTGGGGAAAGGTAATGTCAGGATGGGTGGAGGGCGCTCCCTCCCTGGAGAGAGCAGTGAAGAAGTAGGAAGCTGTCAGCTTGAACAACGTGGGGAGCAGGGGCCCCAGAGGCATGTGGGGACAAGAGGCGTCAAGGTAAGCAGCAGGAAGCTTGAAGTCCCAAGGGCTTGTCGGCTGATGAGCTGAGTTCTTCTGACTGACTCTGAACTCAGCCCCACCTCATTCTCAGGAGGGCCGGGCCCTCCTTTCTCACTGCTCAGAAGGCAGCTCAGGGAGAAAGGGCTCTGGGCTGGGAAACAGACGCCCCGCCTCTGACTAGTCCTGTGACACTGGGCAAAGCTTAATCTCTGAGCTCAGTACCCTTCCAGTAAAACGAGGAGACGCTGTCCCCGACCCTAGTCCCTGCCACAACCAGCACACTTAAGGAGAAATAAGCACATAGGGACAAAACTGCACATCCAAGTTCCTGAGATTTAGCCAATCGGCCCAACTCTGCTTGGAAACAGAGGCTCAGCAATCAGGACCGAAGCCCCCTAAACCTCCTGTCAGGGTGCGCTGGGGAGGCGAGGTCATACTAATGCCGTAGAGACAGCGGCAGCCTTGAACGCTCTCAGATCTTTGTACCTGGGGTTGATTTCATTCTTCACGAGGGTGAAATAATTGTGCATCTTGTGCCAGAGGGTGGGCTTGGGCAGGCTGCCGTTGGCGTGGATGGTGTGAATCTTGGCCATTTCTAAAGCGATCAGCCTACAGCAAGAAACAGGAAGATAGAGCATGAGTGCAGGGCAGGCCCTCCCCAGTTCAGCCCCACCTTGGCCAGAAAGAAATGGCCCTACAAGGTCCACTGGGGCCGAGTGTGGGACTATTACAGATCTGTTAGGAGCTCTTGGTCCTGCAGGAAGGAGATCTCAGCAGAAGGCATGAAAATAAGATAAGGCTTTCAGTCCAGCAGCTCTGCAGGGAGCAGAAGGGCACAGCAGTGGGCTGTTGGCCACAGGTCAGTGGCCGAGCCCCACCCCAAGCTTGTGTACCTACAGAAACCCCTGAGGGCAGAGGGGTCACCTGGGGATGGGGGTGGCACGCCTCCTCCCCATGTTGGACTCTGACCCATGCCCTCATACCTCAGGGGGAGGTACACGCAGGACACCAAGTGATCGGGGGCGGTGATGCCAGGCGGGGAAGAAATGCCCATCTTTTATCAGCCTGGCCAAGGTGGGGAGGGAAGCAGGCCAGCCTAGGGCAGCCCCTTCCTCTGCGGCAGGGAGTTGACGCTGGCGGCTGGGAGCCAAGGACGCAAAACAAACCCGTGTTCTATTTTCAAGTTTTCTGGTGGACGTTATCCAAGGTCCCGGGAGCGAAGGAGGGGGTGGTGGAGAGAGGCGAGAGCAGAGCTTGGGAAGGCTGCTGGGAGAGGGCGGGGGTGCATGGAGGCCTGACCGGTCAGAGAGGGAGGACCTTGGTAAGGACCCCAGCGTCTGAGGGTCCTCAGCCAGCTCTCCCTGCGGGAGCCCCACCCCCACCCTGCTGCCAAGCCTCCAACATTCAAGCTTCCTTCGCCTCTGCCTGTTGCTCGAATAATAATCACTGGGAAAGACAACAAAGGCTGTTTGAAACCTTGTTACCGAGCTGTTCCAGGGATGCCACCCCCCTTGCCAGGTCCGGGGAAGGGGCCGGACATCACCCAACAGGACAGCAGAGCTCCTCCCAAAGCCCCCCCACCCCAGCCTCCCACCTCCTGATAGGTGGAGGGGCGGGTGGAGGGGCAGGTGGAGGGGCAAGGGGCGTGGCGTCAACCGACTAGGTGAGGGACGAGGGCTGTGTTTTCAGAGGCTAGAGGCTCTGGGCCAGGAGGGAGTCAGTCAGGTTTTGGACAAGGCAAGACCTGAGACCCAGGGCTCCCCTTTGCAAAGGAAGATTCGAAAAGAGCCTGAAACAGAGTGTCTCCTTGAATATCAATGGGGCTGTTGTCTGGAATAGCAATGAAAGTGACCCCAACGCTCAGCATTTCTTTGCTGCAAAGTCTCTGAAGGCAGAGTTGGAAGGTGGGGTTCAGGGGACCATAGGGAGGTGGCTCCTGAGGCCTGCTCCCTGCCTTTCCCTCCGAGATCCACCTTCACCCCAGAAGGGTAACGGTCTCTCCTGGGAAAGTCACCAAGGAAGGGTCTACCTCCTACACTTATCCCAGGTGCTGGCTCTCCCCCAAATGTAAAGTTCTCCTTCTTATCAAACCTAAATCCATCTTCAATCTTCCTGACAATGGTAATTGTTCCCATGAGAAAATAAGTGACAGCACCAGACTCACAGAGGTGGCGGGAGCCTGGGAGTGGTGAGGACCTGCCAGTATATGAGCTCCTCTGCACAAGACTGAGGGAGAGCTGGGAGGAGCGCTGTGGGAGAAGTCAGGACAGGGTTCCCTACCCAGCTCCGACCTCGCATCTCCAGCTGGTGCATCTATCAGCTGGAGCTTGAGAAGACCCCCACACAGGGCTGTATGTTCTGCTGACCTCCAGACACACACACAGGGCTACAACATACAGCTCCACTTGAATATCCTGGGCCCAACCAGCCAGAGAGGCAGTGCTCAGCAGCAAGGGGACGGGATACACTCAGATTCCCTCCTTCTAAGTCCCTAGAGAGGTTCCCTGCAAATAGGGCCAGTTGCACTAGCTTGAGGGTAGCAAAGAAATTTCTTGGTTTCTACTCCCTACGTGAGCTTTCCTGTTCCTCCCTGAGATTGGGAAGGCTCCTTCCCCTAAGGTGGGACAGGACACATCCCAAGGGTCTCAGGCAGACCCCTGTCCCTGGTGTCAGGGGTAAACTGCAGCTTGCCTCTGGCCTCGCTACAGTGTGAGTGCCCTGCATGCGGGCCTGGTGCTGTGGGGAGGAAGGAGGCTCCTGCCTGACATCCCTGCCCAGCATGGTCAGAGGAGAGCGTTATACCAGCTCCTCTTTGGTTCTCCCCCTTCCAGACCTCACACTGGCACCCACAGGGCTTAAAGGTTAAGTCCAATTCCTGGGTCCTACACATCCAGGCATTTACTGGGAGGGGCTCCTGGGGGACCAGGGGTCCTTGTGAACCTCTGGAAGGAAGCCTCAGCAGTTCCCCAAATGCGGGCTCCCATCTTGTCAGGAAGCCCAGAAAGAGCTCAGACTAGGGGGAGGGATGGCTTCTCCCCAGGCTGGTAAAGCCACACTCACCCTGGATAAGGCCCACTTTCCAGGCATGCTTGACTTCTTGGCAGGAGGGGAGGGACAGGAAACCCTGAATGCTCTGGGGACTTGGTTGATTTCACTTCCAAGGTTCCAAGATGTTTCCAGGTCAGACTTGGGATGGGCAGAGGACTGAGGCATGGGCCAGGGAGCAGATCTCACCTGTGGTCCCACAGTCACCAAAATCCTCACTTGCCGCCCCAAGAATGCACCCTTTTAGCAGATCCCACTGTAAATCCATACAAAGCTATATAGTCCCTCTCTGCAGAGAAAGGCAGATAGACACAAACTTTTCATGCAGTTTCAGGGAGTTCACAGATCATAAGACTCTCATTTATGGACTCTACCCTATCAAGGAAGCTGGCCAAGGATTTCAAAGCCCAAGGCCTGTGGCATCATGGACATGAACAGTGCCCTGGGCACCCTCCTCACCTGAAGAGCCGGGGCTCACGGATGTGCTCGGGCCCCAGGGCCATGCCCCGCATGTATTCGTAACACAGCCCGTTCTGGAAGGTGCAGTAGAGTTTGGGGGCGCAGCCGTGTGCTTGCAGCAGCTGGAAGTTCCTGACTTCATTCTCCCGGTCCACCAGCAGCTCCGTCCGTTCTCCATACACCCGGACCAGCACACAGTCCCGCATGTCCTCCTCCACGTAGCAGGCCACCAGCTTGTTGGTGATGCCATCAGTGAAGCGCTGGCATGGGGGAGAGGGCAGTGCGGGGATGGGTGGGTCAGGGACTCTGCTCTGGCCCTGTGATGCTCCAGTTCCAGCACAGGGCGCTCATTTGAATGCTGAGCACAATCACGCAGAAACCCTATCCTTTCGCCCTCTCACTAGTAAAGAGCTCAGCACAGCTCCTAGTGCTCTCCCTTCTCCCAATGCTTGAGGTAGACCAGAGAGTTCGAGAAAAAAATGGCAGGCACACTTCTCCTGGGTCTGCCTCTAGTGGATGGGATTTGGCAGTGGAGGAATTTCCACACAACTTGGTGGGTAGATGCCCCCTCCCCCTCTTCACTCTCCCATCAGGCCCTGAAAGAATGTGGCAGAGGAGTGCTGGGAGTCACCCAGGACAGGTACAGCCTGACCCAACCTGCCTCTCTCCACCTGCCAGGCAGAGGACTCCTTGCTGTCCCTCTTGCCCCACCCAGTGGCAGAGGTGTAGGAGGGTATTGAGGTTGGCACCCACCAGGGCTTTGGTGGTCAGAGCTCCTTAGGGCAGAAGAGACAGAGAGAGCAGAACCTGGGCTGGGACAGCTGGCTCTCTGCATAGGGTGACAAAGAGGAAGGAACCACGTGTGAACAGAGCTGGAAGGGGCCTTAAGGGACATCTGAACCAATAAAAGATGGGGAAACTGAGGCTCAGAGAAGGGAGGGACTGGAAGATAGCATGTTAGGCCAGAGCTGGAATCAACCTCAGGCCTGCTTGATGCTGACAGTTTTACACCAAAGTAGTTTTTTATTTTGAAAATGTTACCCACCCACCCCTCCCCCAAGAGGGGTCTGTCAGTCTCCACACTTGGCCCTGAACCTCACTTTTCCCCACCCAGAAGGCCTATTAGCATGGAGCCCCAACCACTCCAGCACAAGCTGCAGGTGTCCCACTCCAGGCACCCTCCTCCCCAGGCAGCTCCCAGAGGGGGTGGGGCAGGTGAAGACTCTTTACAGGGGAGGCAAGTCAGCTGAGGAGTCAGCCTGAGGCTTCTCAGGGGGAGGCTCTGCCCACATCTGTGTCCCTGCGAGTGCGCCCAGCAGGGTGGGAAGGTGCCGAGTGGGGTTGGGGTGTAGGGTGGCGGAGCCAGAGCCCAGACACAGTGAGGCTTTCCAAACAGCGCAGGGCTAGGGGCCAGCCAAATTCCACAGGGTGGCTCCTGGGACCGACAGGTGCTCCCATGGGTTGGCAAAGGGGCAGCGATGTGTATATAAGTGTGTGTGTGTGTGGTGGGGGTGCCCTTAAAAGTTCCTGCTTTGCAGGTTTCAGAGCCGGCTAGGTACGCGCTTCTGGGCAGCGAGGGGCATCAGCACGCGGCCACAGGGGGTGGGGCCCGCACGCGAAGCGTGCCGACAGCGGGCAGGTGGACCTCCGGCGTGCCCGAGAGCCCCAAGGGGGCGGTGCGTGTGGAGGGCCGAGAGAGGCGGGAGCCTAGCTTTGCTTAGGGACCAAAATAGATGGAGAAAGAAATAAATACACAAACCACCATTTCAGCCCTCTCCTGCGCAGCAGCCGCGCACCCCTGGGACAGACACCCGGAAGGATGCACGGACAGACGTCCACGCATCCCCGTTCCAGCCCCGGCGGGTCCCCGTTGCGGGCCCCGCGCCCGCTCGGCTACCTTGGTCCGAACTTGCTCGGGTTTCCAATGCGGCCGCAGCTCCCGGATGAGGCGCAGGGCGCCGGGGAGGATGTCGTCCTGGTCCACGGATATGCCGAAGCACGGGACGGC